AKYGTGTAGTGTGTACAGAGCTTACACACAGGCACAGTCACACAGATCATATCTATGTGTTGTACAGATTATATTCGTAATGGCGTAGTAGCGCAGTACACAACCAGGGGTAGACTGATCCCTTRGGCTATGGGTAGGAGGGAAGGGGGAAGGCAGGAGGGCTATCGTTATAATCTCTTCTCCGTGACTGTCGGCCGTCGGGTATCAGCACGATGCCTAGACCTCGCTTAAATCTAGTCCTATTTTTTTTTTTTATAGTTTGTGCGTGATATAGTGTAATCTAATTTTACCGTATTTATTATCGAGTTCTTCATGTTGTGGCTGGTCTTAGTGTTTTAGACAGTTTTAGTACTCTTGGTACTTTCGGTTAAGTCCCAAATCCCGATGACGTTATACCGTGACGCGCTGTTATAGTAATAACATCGTCTACCAATGCGATTTTCGTTTCGTACATCGCTTTGAAAACTTATTGAAATGTTGATGTGATTATTGCTCATTAACAACCATGAACAACTGTTTTATTTTGTTGATAGCAATACTATGCCATCAGCCAAGTAAGAGTATTAAATATTATAAATACTATTCACTCGAATATTTTTTCAACTTGCATCCGTTACTGCAGGCAATGTCAAAAACGATTGCATTGACAACAACGGTCGAACTGTTCAGGAGGGAAAGACGTACATACCGGGCCCTGAAATCTGCACTCGGTGTGTGTGTGACAATTCTGTAGCTAAATGGTGTCACCCCGTGCTTTGTACACCGCCACAGGTACTTTTTTGTTTTTTTAAATATTATTTTGAAACAGGGACTAAACCAGATTATTATTTATTGAGTGTTATGATCTATAATTGGTTAATTGTCACAGAAATAATTAAAACATTTTTATTTAACTCTAGGATTGCAAGTCTTATACAACTGTTGGAAATATATGCTGTGAATTCAATTGTTTAGATGAAACTCTCAAAGGCGATAATATTAATGCCAGATCAATTGCCAGCACTGTAACAGCATTTTTATTTTTCATATTAATTGTTTTCCTTATAAACCGGTTACACAAAAGAAATATAATGTCAAGTAAGAATAAATTTGTAATATTTGTATTTTAA